GGCACCGATCCCGAGAAGGTAGCTGCCATCAAACACTTCCCCCGACCTATCAACGTCAAAACCCTGCGGAGCTTCCTTGGTTTAGCCTCCTGGTATAGACGTTTCGTCCGTGATTTTGCCGCTACTTCTCGACCTTTGACTCAACTTTTACGCAAAGATTGTAAGTGGAATTGGGACACAGAGCAGGAGCGGGCTTTTGAATCTCTGAAAGACAAGCTCGTTACCGCACCGATACTTGCGTGCCCCGATTTCTCAAAAACATTCGTCTTGCAAGTTGACGCTTCCGATTATGGTCTAGGCGCGGCGCTCACTCAGGACAACGACGGGAAGGAAGCTGTAGTAGCGTATGCCAGTCGTCTTCTCACAAATCAGGAGAAGAACTACTCTACGACCGAGAAAGAGTGCCTGGCACTCGTATGGGCAGCGAAGAAGTTTAGGCCGTACCTTGAAGGTTACCGGTTCGTAGCCGTCACCGATCACGTGGCTCTCAAATGGTTGTTGCGACATCCCGAGCCAACCGGACGGCTAGCGCGCTGGATAATGGAGTTACAGCAACACGACTTCGAAGTTAAGTACCGCAAGGGGACCCTTAACTGTGTTGCTGATGCCTTATCCCGTCAACCGAACGTCCCGGTAACCCCCGACGTGAACGTCACGTCAGCCGAAGGTCGAGGCGGTACGGAAGCCTCTAGCGACGCCGCACCCTCTTCACGTGACGACTGGGTAGCCGTCCTGTCGAGTAAAGTTAGGGCGAACCCTACAAAGTACCGGCATTACAGCGTTCGAGGGGACAAACTTTACAAATCGAAGACCAATAAGGGCAACGGGGAATTGAGCTGGAAGTTATGTGTTCCAGAGGACCTGCAGGCTGAAGTTCTGCGTGAGACCCACGACCTGGCGATAGCCGGTCATCTCGGGGTCAAGAAAACCTTGGCGCGTGTGAACGAGAGGTATTTTTGGCCTGGCTGGAGGAAATCCGTCAAGGCATACGTACGTTCCTGCCGAAAGTGTCAAGCACACAAAGTCCCTCAGGATAAGCCGGCCGGACAGATGCATTACCGTAACCCTAAGGGCCCGTGGCACGTTATTTCCACCGACTTGATGGGCCCGCTGCCTCGTTCGAAGAGCGGAAACACATTTATTCTGGCTTTCCAAGACGTATTTAGCAAGTGGACGGAGATGTGCCCTATCAGATCGGCTACCGCTAAGAACGTAGCGTCCAAGTTTAGGGAGCGAATTCTCCTGCGATACGGGTCTCCAGAAGTCTTACTTTGCGATAACGGGGTCCAGTTTGTGTCGAAAGTGTTTAGAGACTTGGCTGAGGATTGGCGCATCGAATTTCGCAACACGGCGCCTTACTCTCCTCAGTCGAACCCCATCGAGCGCCAGAATCGCGTGATCAAGACCATGGTGTCACAGTACGTGGGCGAAGATCATCGCACTTGGGACACGCATCTATCCGAGTTTCAGTTCGCGTTAAACTCGGCGATTCATGATTCGACTGGATACTCTCCGGCGGTCCTATTACTGGGCAGACAGCTGCGCCCACCGCGAGCCCTGGCGGATTCCCACCTGGGTCTAGCCGACGCGTCCGTCGACGAGTCGTTGGAGGATATCCACGACCAGCGTCAAGCGCGGTTCCGCCATATCTACGACAAATGCCGTAAGAATCTGGAGGCTGCTTTCCGGCGACAGGCCAACTACTACAACCTACGACGAAGGCCCGCGAATTTTAACGCAGGAGACGTGGTGCTACGCAGAGTGCGCACGCTCTCCTCGGCCGCTGATTCCATCGTAGGCAAGTTGGCACCGAAATTCCGAGGACCATGCACTATCCGAGGGCGGATTGGGGCAAATCTATACTCCGTCTCAGACCCCTCCAGCAGATCTTACGTGACGGTCCATGCAAAAGATATGAAGCCGTTTGTCGAGAGCTAGAGTTAAGAAGATTTTTTAGTTTCAGTTTTGTTTTGTTTACGCTCAAGCGAGCTTCGCGGCAGACGCCGACAATACCCTAGGTTTGGGTATTCTTTTTTTCCCGTTTTTCTTTTTTTCTCTGCGAAGTAAGAAGGGGGTGTAACGACCCAAAACCCGTCAAGGGGTAAAAACCCGATTTTTAAAAGTTTCATTTTAAATATTATAATTTTCTACGTTCGGGGTAAGCCGCGCCCGCGTTGTCAGCGGCATCGTAGGGGCAAGGGTCCTACGTCATCGTAGAGGGGATGACGCTAGTTACCTACCCCGCCGCCAGGGGCGATGGCGAAGAAGGACCAGAAGAGCGGACCTCATGGTCAGTCGTCCACCCGCTACCGAACCGTCAGTACGCTTGCTGTTTGGAGACAATCCAACAGTCTATATAACCTCCTAAATTCTGGTCAATCAAAGATTTCCCCCGTTCCTGGTAGAATCATAAGTCATCAGGTTAGTGTGCTACCGAATTTATTTTGTTTAATCTCATTTTTAGAGAAGTTTTATTATTTTTTTTATTTTACTGTGCCGCAGTCGCGCGCACCCCGCACGCTTTTTCACGTACGAGCACACTACCTTTTGTCTTAAACCAGCTTCGGAAATCAGTTAAGTTGCCGGAACGGTTTACGTACGACTTACCCCGTTACCCCGGACCGTCCTACGTAAATTTGGTTTAAGAAACCCAGTACCGACTCTGGTGATCGACCGAGTCTAATTTTCCCGACACGTTTACTTTGGTGATTACCAAGTATAACGACCGAGTCTCGTTTTAGTTAAGTTTCAAATTAATTAGGTTATTCGCATTCATCATAGGTTATTCAAAATTCTAAATTTAACTTCACATATTTTTCGAGTAGCTATGATGAGCACTTGTTAAAGGTAAGCTTAACATTGTAAGCATTATTGTTGTATTTAATATTCTGAGCCAATAAACTCGAAACGATAATTAATTAACGAACACGTTAGAGTCCTGGACTATCTCATAGTAGGCTAAGCTATCTGGACAAATATAAGGTGTGACCTAATTTCAGGTGAGACGACAATCACGTACTATAAAATCTCAATTTTGTCTCTCAACCCGAAATTTCGTCATAGTCTTTATGGTTGTAAACTTTTTGGCCTACTTCAAATATTTTTGAGAGTATCAGAGAAGACATCCCATCTATATGGATCAGCTGTCGCCAATTTTTTTACTTAAAAAGAATTCAGTTGTGTGAGCCAGTCACAGATTGCGCTAGTGTCTAAAACTCTATTTTGTACCTTATTTTTCATTACTGACATAGTTGCTGGGTCACAACAGTTGCTATAGCTCATAATAAGTCATTCCATCAGTTTGACTTGGTAAAAACCATCATGTAATCAGCAGAAATTTGTAATTTAGATCAGCGCAATCTGTAGGTGGCTCACATCAACTAAGACAAATTTTATTAAAAACCTGGCTACAACTTTAACATGGGGATGGAATGACTAAATAGTCAAAGGCATCAGGTATACCTTTCCTGTTTTTACTCATAGTGCCTGTAATGTAAGTCATCCTTTTATACAGTTAATCTGCCAAAGGTATGGACATAAAGAAATTATCTAAAAATAGGCCTAGAGAATTTATGAAATCATCACTCAACTCACCAACTGATTGCACACCAATCTCTTTCAATTTATGAAATATTGCGTCTTTACTTACTGTCAACTTATTTTGACCAGGTTTAGTCATATTTAGCCTACTAACTAAAAATGCATCAGGTCAACTTATAAGTCTTGAGAAGTTATGTACAAAAACAGATCACTGTTGACAAAGATCAGACAACGCCATCTCGGGAAATTTTGTCCACCACGAGAAAAAAACACGAACAAAAGCTAGTCAAAGCTCTTGCTACAAGAAGCCCAGACGATGCTGATTCAATTGGTGTGTTATTTGTGGATTTCGGATGTAGAGGTGGCCAGTAAACAAACATTTAGCAGACGTCTGATATATCGGACCACGGCGGCCAAAGGGTTAATCGAGAACATCATCTGAGGTCATGGCAAAATCAAGATAAGAAGTTTCAAAAAAGAAGATGGAATTTCAATTTAAACTCAGCTGACTTGCAACTTGCAGCATAAAACTTTAAGTAATGAAGGCAAATCTTGAGAGTTTTAAATATCTCCTTATTAGCATGATTTTTTTAATATAATTGAAAATTCCCACTTTTGTTGGGCCTATGCTTTAGTCTCTAGGTTTGTACTAACATTTGACAGCATTGCCACTTCCAGGCACTATAAGTCCCACATTATTAGAATAACCCTGGCTGGATAGCAAGAACAATAGTCAAACGCAATGGCTTATACCATAGATAAAACAACGTCCCTTAGTAGATTTCCCATCCTTATGGAACAGCTGAAGCAAATTTTATTCATTGTTAGTTCTGTCCGGTTTTCTGTAGATGTCGTGTTTTGTTTACAATTTGTTTCTTGTTATTTCAGTAATTTAAAACCTTGATTAACCAAATAAAACTATCTAATTATAAACAATAACTCGTCCACTAGCTATATAACCAAACAGTGAGACACAATTAATGAGAAACTAATTCTAAAATAATAGAAACAAATTGTAAACAAAACATGACATCTACAGAAAACCGGACAGAACTAACAATAAAATTGGCTTCAGCTGTTTCACAAGGATGGGAAATCTACTAAGGGACTATGTTTTATCTATGCTTAATATACTCTTATGAAGTCATGTGCGTTGGTGTTCTAAAAAGAAAGACATTCATACCCAGTTATTAATCACTGGTAAAGTTAAAAGTAAAGAATAAAACTAGATATTTATTTCTGAAATAATTTACTCTAAAAAACATAACGTTCTAAATTCTTCTAACATAACTATCGAAATAACTGACATAATGGAAATTTGAAACTGTAACACTGAGATTTAATGTAATGATGTATAATAGATTTATAATTAAGTAAATATAAATGAGATTGAGATCATAAAAATTATTACAGTGTCACACTTAATAAATTAATATAAACCTGATGGCCTCATAGTTCACCTGCTTTCTCCTTCCACTTTGAGAAGGATCCCATGGTAAAGAATCAAGGGCTTCGATTAACGATTGCTCTTCTTTTTCAGATATAAACTCTTGCTCAATAAATACTCCAGGGAAATTGATAAAGTCAGTGGAGTGGTCAGGATGATGTAGCTCAGTTTCTCGAAAAGCCATATTGCATTCAGGACAGTAAGTGTAACAATTCTGAAAATAACCACTTTAGCTTATTAAAAGTTTAACAACACAGTCAGTTAAAACAAATAAAATACCCCCGCCGCAGCAAACCTGCAGACTAAGCGAATTTCCATTTGACTGATTGGATCTACACTGAAATGTCTACTTAAAAATATAACATTTATTCTTGATTTAAATAGAATTAGTTTAACTAGAATTAGTTTAACAAGTACTTAGGTTTGCTGCATTAGGGAGGGTAAAACTGTTTTTTTTTTGTAAAATGTGAATAGTTAGTAAGAAATAAAAACATTTTCCAAATTTGATCAAAATATGTTCACAAACAAGCAAACTACAACAGTTTACTTATTCTCCATATGAATAACATGGGAATTTTAAATTTACAATTTTTTGGAATTTTCTCCGTAACCATTAGGCGCATAATAACGCTTCAATATACTAAATTATTTGTTTTTTTGAGCTCTACAAAATGGTTTGGAAAGAAATTGCTAAATTTTATGTTTTTTGGGTCAAAAATGGGAAAAACCAATTTTTACCCCATAAAACCCCCCGTAAACCCCCGTTCCCATGGTCCGATCATGCTGGATCGCGAACTCGTTCAAATAGACGTACGTTTACACGTTTGTACCAAATTTCATCAAAATCGGATCATTTTTGCTCGAGTTATCGTGCTGACGGACACATATATATATAAAAAAAAATATATATATATATATATATGAATTTGAACGGATGGTGTTTTTGGTCTCTAGGGACCTCAAAACGAAAAAAAAATCGGTCCCGCGTCCAGGTCTTACCATGAGTACTACGGTAATAGCTTATTCCCTATATGGGAAATTCGCTAAAACTGCATATCAAGGATGCATTTTTAAATTTATGCAGGCAAAACGTTAAACCATTAGCAAACACAATATCCTACAGTTTTAAGGCAAATCAAATGTTTTGCTAATAAATGTCACACTGATTTCTGTATACCTAATTGTTAGTATATATTTGATATCGGATGATTAAACTAAAACAGCAGCTTTATAGATCTTTAAGGAATAGCCTTTTGGTAAAATGGAAAGCTACCTACTTTCCAAACTTGTTAAAGGTAGTTAAATGCTACCTCACGATTGCACACTTTATAGGGGTTGACATTTTCATTGACTATGGTGCTCTTTTCTTTTCCATAAACACAAAAAAAGGCACTATTGCGTTACCAACAGACATACACACAAACTGACAGAATTGAGTTGGGACATTTACTACGCTAACCAAAGCAATGTACAGATTTAAATTTGTATTTTGTAACACATTTTACTTATCGTGCAGTCATTAAATGCCTTTGCAGGGTGTCTACCAGATTTCTCAAATTGAGTCCCCGACTTTTCATTACTATTTTTAAAAATCCCAACCAAAAACTTGGTCCATTTTTCATGTTACTACAGTACACCTTTCCCATCTCGCTGTCACAGTACCATCCTCTACATGTATCGCGTTCACGGCACTATTGACAACATTACCCGCGGTCAAGGCACAATTATCAAAATGTACCATGGTCACGGCCCTATCGTCAACATTTCCCGCAATCACCACACCATCGGCAACATGTCCCGCAGTCACGGCACCATCGACAACATCTTGCGCAGTCACGGCACCATCTTCATTATGTCCCGCGGTAATGGCACCATCGACAAGATGACTCGCGGTAACGTTACCATCGTTAACATGTCCACTGTCAGGTCACGATCGTCAACATGTTCACGGTCACGGGTTCATCGTCATCACCTCCTGCGGTCATGGAACAACGTAAACATGTTCGCGGTCACGGCTCCATCGTCAACATGTTCTGCGGTCACGGCACCATCTTCAGCATGTACCGCACTTGCGGCACAATCATTCAAATGTCCTGAGGTCACAGCACCATTGACAACATCTTCCGAGGTCATGGCACCATCTTAAACATGTCCCGTGGTCATGGCGCTATCTTCAACATGTCCCGTGGTCACAGTACCATCAACAACATGTCCCGCCATTACAGCACCATTGACAACGTGTCCCGTGGTCACGCGTCGACATGATCCGCGGTTGCATCTCCATTGTCAACATATCCACATATCCCGCGTTCGCGGCGCCATCTTCGACTTGTCTCGCGGTCACAATGCAAGTGTGAAGATCTCTGCTATCATGTAGACATTTGCATCGTCAGCTACAATACCGACGATATTATTTGCGATCGCTGAAACGTCATCATTGTCACTCGCGACAAGGCGAAATCGCCGATGATCAAAACAAATCATGTGCCGAGAAAATTCCGCATCAAATGTAATCCCGTCCTAATGATTGAATACTAAAAATGATGACAGTTCCGTGGGTGCCGTGAACAACAAGTGCGTACCGCCAACATTGGTTCCGGCGCGGGTGTAAGTACAGATTGTCGCCACCACCCAGTCACTGAGTAGGCCTACCTCCTTCACACCGACCCCCAGTGCTTCGCTCACCCAGATACCTGTTCAACCATTAGAAATTGCAGGTAAACGTTTTCCATATCATCCTAACGAAAATTGGACTGTATTTAAGTAAAACGTTAGGAGTTGTAGAAAAATATGAAATTTTACAAAATGTTTGGCAACCTCTTTTAAACCATACTTTCCCTATTTTAGAAAAGTTTTCTACAAGGAAAATTAAGTTTCAATGGAAGTGGTTTGCAGAATTTCCGTGGCTTGCTTACTCCGAGGTGCAACAGGGGGTGTTTTGTAAATATTGTTGTTTGTTTGCTAAGCACGGTGTAGGGATTAATCACCAGGAAGTAGGTGCTTTTGTAAAAAAAATTGACAACTGGAAAAAATCTAAAGCAGCATTAAAAAACCATGAATGTTTTACAAACAATATCATAGATGTTTTTGAAGTTTTTTATAAGTTATTCAAATCGGAAGAGTTTTAAGCAAACACAAGGTGAACAACCAACATAAAAAGTATTTTTCATAAGGGTTTTATATGATTAAAAATCAATAGATCCAGTATTTTTCATGTTTTTCTATATGTTTTCAACTCAAAATAATCAGTAAATTATAGGCTTTAATTTGAGCTATTGATCGTTTGAATCAGTTAAGCTCAAGATACTGTATTATTCAATCATAAATTTGATTATTTCTCGGGGATACTATATTTATTTTAACGCTGAGGAGCAGCATGGGTCCTCTAGTTTAGAAGGAAAAGAATTTTGTCAGCTCTTTCAACTATACCTTTCCTCAATAGATTAAGTGTTTACAAAACACGGGCTTCAATTAAACCAAACCAATTTTTTTAAACTTATTTTTTTATAATTTATTTTTTTTCTAGCATCAACTGAAAATATTATGCTATTTTTTAGTTTATTTAGCCAATGTGTTTGTAACTATTATGTTTTGTTTCAATAATCAGTGGTAAGTGGGTAAATGTACAAGCTACTGAACGGTTAAAGTGACACTTGATTTATGGGGTGAACCTAGCACTCTACGACTGATTTGTGGGGGCTTTGTCTTGACCAGTTTTTTTTTGGGGGGGGGGATTTGTGTCATAAGCCTTAGGGGGGATGTGCACCCCTAAGAAGAAAACTTGAATTTTCATTGTAATAATTTAGGAGATTTCTTTATATCATGATAGTTTGCCTCATTTTTAAAGTTAAAAGTTACTGTACCTACTTATGGCTTTTTAATTGTTGTAACGTATATTTAAATTTAATACATCTATTATACAAAGCAAAATGTTTTTAAGTTTAATTGTCCACCGTCCTTAGTTTAGTTAGTTCCATCCTCAGTTACGTAGTTGTTGTATTGTCATTGTGTGCAGTAGCAGTGCCGCGCTCGCTGGCGTCACGTAGTGAGCAGTGATAACAAACAATGACATTCTGCCTTGCTTCCGTTGCGACGACGCACGGTGTAGGGGCGTGTGGAGGAGGGATTCTGGTGCCTGGGGAGGGTCACTCTTTCCACCACAATAGTTTTACCGTACCTACAGTCAAGGGCGTCGCACGAAAAAAATATTGGGGAGGAGACACTTTAAATTTCCTAACTATTTTAGAAGGATTTCCCAACTATATAACACAGATTTCCCAACTATATTAATATCAAGTTTTTACAGTAGCCTAAGGATATTTTACCTTTAAATCCTCTTTACAGCTGACATACACAAATAACAAGAAATTAAGGGTTTTCTCACATTACCGGTATTGGGTTGACTGTCAATTGTTGATTGTATCTTGTCTCAACTAATGTCCACACTGTAGGTCTACTGATCAATAATATTAAGTTTTCAGCCTGTTAAAATCAATTTATAATAAAAACTCGGTAGATACCGCTCTTCACGTGCAGCTCAGAAGGCTACAGTACAACAACGGCTTAATGATAATTTGTTCGTTTGTTGTGTTGTGATTAGCCTATAATTTAGTTAGGCTAAAACTTGCTATTTCCTGATTCTGACCGGCCAGAGACAGCCTCAATTGGGTTGATTTTTGGAGTTCTTTTGAATGTGATTAGGCCTATGCCTCTGGAATGCCTGAAAACGTGAGTTTGGAGTTTTAATTTTTCTACCCGGACCCCCCTATTTGCTGGGGGGGGGGGTATTATTCCTCCATCCCCCCCCAAAGCCATTTTCTAGTTAAGCCACTGAAATAACGGATACCGGTACCCTGGAGTTGTATGTTGAGAAAATCTAAGAATGATCAAGTACATTTTACACTAGTAGACTTAATACTTGAATGTACAGTTGACTCCCTCTTATCCAGACACCGTTTAACCGGACTACACTCGGTAGAAGGGACATCTCTTTATCCGGATAATTTTTATCAGCTCATCGGTTTAACCGGACTAGATCGGCAGGAAGTGGGCGGTACTGAAACGACTGTTCTCGAAGGAAACATTTGAGACCAGTGATTAAACGTACGTCTAAATACAATGCTCTCTTAAATTTAAATCAAATACTGTACAGAGTATGCATTTAAACAGTCCCTTTTAACGAGATTTTGGGGACGTCGGTTTAACCGGAAAACCTGTTATCCGGACTGGCCTTGGTCCCGAGGAGTCCGGATAGAAAGGAGTCGTCTGTACTTAAAAGTTGTATGGAACATAATTCAAGTTATTATTACAAAAATATGTTTTTGTGCTTTGGTTAATTAATGTGCACGAGACCCTTGCAGGCCTAGGCGAAATATAATAGACTTGGACTTATGTTATGTAGGCCTACTTTTTAATAGGAAGAAACAGTTAAGCCATTCCATGTATTATTTAATGACTAAGTATTAATTCATGGCATGGTAATAGGAATGTAAATTATTAGCCTAATTCTTTAAAATAATCAATGCTTAGTAGGCATGCAAACCTGCGAATTTCCATTTGCGCATGATAGAAAAAGTAAAGCGGTCACGGGTCTAGGTCTTACCATGAGACCTACGGAAATAGCTTTTTCCCTTATGAACAATTTTCTGTACTGACCTGAGAAAATTCTAATGATGGTTTCTGTATTTTAAAATGTTCCTCACATTTCAGGCACGTTCTTATACCTTTACAGCCGCAGAAATTAGATCGGTCCGTCTCCATGTTAAAAAATCTTCTATTTAATCCCTTGTTGAGTTTTCGGAATTAATTTCAATGTCAATACCTGCAGCTCTCATCAATTCGTCTTTTACTTTTAAGAGGAGTTCTTTCTTTATTGCTGAAGGGACAGCAGCACGCCCTTGTGGCAGCAAATCTTCAAGAAGCTGATCTGCTGTAATGTTTACTCCTTTTTCTTTTACTATTTCTCTTGCTTGTAAACGGACTTGATCACACCAACCACTTTCGTGAAGACGCCTCCTAAGTAAGATATTAAATTTTTCGTAATCCCCAGTAACTTTCAAACCTTGTCCTGAAGAATTCATTTTCAACGATGAAAACACTGTAAACCTTCAATATCCTGAAAAAATGAGTCAGAAATTATAAAAGATATAACTTATGTTAACTTAACTTAATGAACATCTAGATGAGTAAATAATAGCAATTACATACAATTATATTTACAAGCAAGAGGTTCATGGTGTGATCATGGTGGCTTTAAGAATTGACTCTGAGGTGAACTAAGGTAGGCTATGTAGAAAACTCTTAAAGAAGTTTACACAAATTGCATTAACTATACATACAGTACTACCTAGTAAAAGTTATTCAAAGAAAAAAATTATTGCAAAAAAATAGTAAGAGGGAACAGTTTCTTTACAAGTTATAAATGTACAAAATTATAGTAGGCCTACCATTTAAAATGTGTTGTCTGTTGGGTACAAAATCTGTATTATGTAGTAACTTAGCTTAACTACATTACCGACTCACTTAACACTACATTACTGACTCTTTAAGTTAACACTACATTTTGCCAGGGTATCAACCAGCTAACTTATTTAACTATTTATTTATTATTTATTAACAGAAGGCCCTTTTTGTAGTAGCCTACATTAACTAAATAGCCAAGGCCAGGGTTTAGGGTAGGCCTACTTGCGGCCCAAAGCCAAATTAACACTAGCGCTCCCCACCCCTTGGATGGAGTATCCCCCAAATTACAGAAAAATCGTGAACATCTCACAGGACATAATCATCATCACCCACAGTCACGGCAATAAATTTTAACTTATTAGTTTTAAGAAAATAAAGGCCTACATTATATCAATTTTATAAAATTTACCATACAGTGAATATTAAGTTAACTTAGCAAATTTTCAACAGCCTATAAGGAGTAAGATATTACCACCCAAAGTGAATAGTCTTACCACAGCCGCCTTAAACTCCAGGCCGTGGCCTTCGAAGTGGCAACGTCACAAGTAGGGTTGTAAGTTAACAGCTGTTTTGTTTGGAAGCAGTTGGTAGGCCTATTTGTGTATTTACTAAAGCTTGGTTACCGTACTGGACTATGAAAATATTGATTCGCTTTAAATGTAGGTAGGTACCTACAGATATAGGTTTTCAATTCATATTGTTTTGGTTTTCAATTCTGTATGTTTTATTTTCAATTAATTATTTTCATAAATTGTTTTTCATCAATTTAAATCAATAAATTGCGAATTAACTTAATGAGCTGGATGTCACCTTTCTGCCATGTTATCTTAAGTATGGGACGTCTGACACTAAACAACCCTACTTGCAACGTTGCCAATTCTACCAGGGCGCAGCCTGTAGTTAAAGGTGGTTGTGGTCTTACCTGGGTCTCTTGGCTTAAGACTTAGACCCAGGACCAATTTACATACCTACTTTTTTCTTTTAGCGAATTTCCCATATAGGGAATAGGCCTAAGCTATTACCGTAGTACTCATGGTAAGACCTGGATCCGAGACTGATCTAATTTTTCATTTTGAGGTCCCTAGAGGCCAAAAACACCATCCGTTCAAATTCATATATATATATTTATATATATATATATGTCCGTTAGCGCGATAACTCGAGCAAAAATTATCCGATTTTGATGAAATTTGGTACAAACGTGTAAACCTATGTTTATTCGAACGAGTTCGCGATCCAGCATAATCGGACCATGGGAACGGGGGATTATGGGGGGTTTTAGGGGTAAAAATGGGGTTTTCCCATTTTTGAACCTAAAAACAAAATATTTTGTGATTTCTTTCTAAAACATTTTGTAGAGCTTAAAAAAAGAAATAATTTAGTATATTGAAGCGCTGTTGTATGCCTAACGGTCACGGAGAAAATTCAAAAATAGTGTAATTAAAAATTCCCATGTTATTCTTATGGAGAAAATGAAAATTGTTGTAGTTTACTTGTTTATGGGTATATATTGATAAAATTTGGCAAATTTATTTATTTCATCCTATACTATTGATGTATGGTCAAAAAACACTTTTTACCTTCCTTGTAGCAGCAAACCTAAGCACTTGTTAAATCTAATGTTATTTATAGGGAATAATATGTCTTATTTATGGAAATATTTTAGTAAAAATGTAATCAGACAAGTTGAAATTCGCTTAGTCTGCAGGTTTGCTGCGGCGGGGGTATTTTATGTCCCCAGTGGTCAATCTGTAGGCTTACTTATTAAACTTCTTACTTAACTGAACTAAGTTAGGTCCAAACAAAAAAAAACTAATTTAAGTTAAACACATTTTGATTAATTTACCTACCGGTACTTCAACTTGTTTTTTTTAGGCTGGATCCGAAAATGCAATCAGTTTTTTGTCAGAAAGAGTCCTAACTTAACTTAAGTTAGCCTACTTAAGTGTCTGAAAAACAATAAGAAATTGATGTATGGTCAAAAAACACTTTTTACCTTCCTTGTAGCAGCAAACCTAAGCACTTGTTAAATCTAATGTTATTTATAGGGAATAATATGTCTTATTGCCATTTGATATGACGAAATTTCGGGTTGAGAGACAAAATTAGATTTTAAAGTACGTAATTGTCGTCTCACCTGAAATTAGGTCACACCTTAAATTTGTCCAGATAGCTTAGCCTACTATGAGATAGTCCAGGACTCTAACGTGTTCGTTAATTAATTATCGTTTCGAGTTTATTGGCTCAGAATATTAATTACAACAATAATGCTTACAATGTTAAGCTTACCTTCAAAAAGTGCTCATCATAGCCACTCGAAAAATATGTGAAATTAAATTTAGAATTTTGAATAACCTATGATGAATGCGAATAACCTAATTAATTAGAAACTTAACTAAAACGAGACTCGGTCGTTATACTTGGTAATCACCAAAGTAAACGTGTCGGGAAAATTAGGCTCGGTCGATCACCAGAGTCGGTACGGGGTTTCTTAAACCAAAATTTACGTAAGACGGCTCGGGGTAACGGGATAATCCCTACGGATATTACTCGGGTGATTTGAATAAATTTCGTGGCAAGTAAGAGCCGAGGGTATGTGTGCTGACGGCGGGAAAAAGCGTGCAAGTCGCGCGCAGCGCGCTTTTGCGGCACAATTAAAATAAAAATTAAAACTTCTCTACAACTAAAAATAAACGGAATTCTATAACGGTAGCACACAATAGTTAAGGGCTCCACCACCAAGGGGAAAACTTTATTTAACTCACCAGGATGACTCGGGTCTTTGCTAATTGTTGGATTGCTCCAAACAGCGACGTCCTTATCAATCTGAGGCCGGTAGACAACTAATATTCCACTGTAATATTACGTCTCGTACACTAAACTGATTATGGTAATGTTCGTATGTGTAATATTTATTAAATTCTGAGCCAAAACAATTAATTATCGACTATGCCTTCGGGCGCCATAAAAATATATTTAACATTCAATAGTCCCTGTTCGGATCGCCATTTGATTTTGCAATAAAAACACTTCCATGTTCTTGGTTCGGGGCAGTCGCGGAACAAGTGTCCCGTACGGTCACAATTCCAGCAAACGTACTGGTTGTTGACGTGGACGGTTTTCTCCAGTGCCACCCCTCTCACACTCGTGTGGGAGTTGGGCACGGATAGGGTTTGTGCCTTGGATCGCGAACTCGGTCCTTGCCGCGCGCGGTCGTACCTTTGGTGCTGCGGGTAGGTCCGGGAGCTCGATTCGCGTGGTGGCTCAGCAGTGACTGCGGCCATTGACTATATAACACTACACAGTAGTGTTATATAGTCAATGCTGCGGCGTTATCGACCGGACGTTCAGAACGCCTTCGCCCGTGATACGCGGTTTCAGGAATGAGAGAGATAGCCGGAGGGGGTGGAGGACGAAACGTGCTCTTATCCCTAACGTAGGACTCGTACTCCTCGGCACGCTTAATCAGTTCGGTCAGAGTCAAGCAGTCCTGGCGTCGAACCATAAGTTTGTATTCGGGTCGCATATTCGTATAAATCAAGTCAATCTTATCGTGGGACGAAATGGATCCTCTCCTTCGAATTAGCGTGCTTAACGCGACCACAAAATCTCTGAACGGCTCCTGGTCACCCTGTGTCCGCTTACGAATCTCTTCGTCCAAGTTACGGCGATAACCGAGAGGTAGATATTGGATTTCGAAATGGCTACGAAAATCCTGGAAATCGGCCCACGCTTCCCGGTTATTGCGGTACCATAACAAGGCGTTACTAGTCAACAGTTCCGGCAGAGCCCTGAAGACCTGGTCTGGGGCTAAGGAATACGCCTCCATTAGCTCCTCCAAGCGTTCCAGGAACGATACCGGGTCTTTGCGACCGTCAAAACGAAGGTTCCACTTACGAACGACGTTGTAAATGGAGGCTCCGTCTAGCGATTGGCGGCCTGAGGGGCCAGCGTGGCTCGATGGATCGGCATCTCGCAACTCGCGAGTTGCCGAGGCGTTAGGACGTGGTACCGCACCGTAGCACAGATCGGCATAATTCGTGGTAGGGGGTGCGGCGTGAGCGGGAACCGTGTCGGTCGCGTAGTGTCCCGTGGGAGTCGCGTCGTTTGACCTCAAGGTATTCACCATTGAGGCTAGGACCCGTCTCACTAGCGTAGAGTCCGCATTCGGTGACAACCCAAGTATCTCCCGTACACTGTCACGTTCGTCGAGGGCGGTATGAACGCCTAACTTGTCCTTAGACGCGTATTCCAACCCGCAATTCGCCGGCGGGATATTAAGAGTGCGTGGAGGATCAACGGTCCGGTAGGGTTCGGTACGGGTAATTGCGGAGAATGGCGATCGCCAAAAATCCACAAAACTCTTCCTAAGTTCATCTGCCGTACCTGCCGTAGAAAGGCCGTATTTACTCATCTCATTCTGCTGCTCCTC